GGTGGGGATGAGCCCGCACTGGTCCGGACTGGAGCTCCCAGTCCAGCGGCGGCTTCGGGGCTGGCGGCACCTGCCCGGCGCTGGCCATGGGGCGAGTGGCGGCAGCTGGGGCCGTACTGGTGGCACTGGTGGKGCTGGGAGCGGCCCCGGCTGCGGGCGAGGAGCTCTCGGGTGAGCGGGGGGACGGGAAATGCGATGGGAAATGGGGAAAATGGGGAAAAATGGGGTGTGGGACCCGAAAATTGAGGGGGAGGAGGAGGGGAACACTCAAAGAAAGAGCGGGAAGGGCTGAGGATTGGAGAAAGGTGAGAAATGGGTGGGAAAGGGGGAACAAGGGAGTGTGGGACCCCAAAACTGAGCAAGAGGGGGCTGAAGGTTAGGGATTTTGGGATAAATGGGTGGAAAATGAGGAAAAAAGGGGAATGGAACCCCAAAACCGATCTGGGAAGTGGCTCGAAATGGCGGGGAGAGGATGTGAAAGGGGAAATGCAGAGAAGGGTGGGAAAGAGGAAGTGGGAGCGCAGACAGGAGGGTCCCGAGGCGGCCGGGGGCACAGGGGGTGCGGGGTGGGGATCCGGGGGGGCCCCGGAGTTTGGGGGGTGCTGGGGAGGCACCCCTGACCTGTCCCTGCACACTCAGGGGTCTTCCAGGAGATGATGACGGCCGAGTGTCACTTCACAAACGGCACGGAGAAGGTCAAGTTCGTGGAGAAGCGCATCTACAACCGGGTGGAGTACGCGAGGTTTGACAGCGATGTGGGGCACTACGTGGGGTTCACCCCCGATGGGGAGAAACAGGCCCAGTACTGGAACAGCCACACAGAATGGATGGAGGAAACACGGGTTCAGGTGGACACGTACTGTCGGTACAACTACGACTTGCAAGACTGGTACTTCGCGGATCGCAAAGGTGAGCGCGGGGCCGAGCGCGTCCCCTCGGGCCCTGCCCGGCCAATGACCCCGGAGCCCCTCCAAACCTCCCTGGGAATCGCCGCAGAGCCCGCAGCCCCCCTTGTGGCCATTGTCCATCCCCAGTGACCCCTGTACATTTCCCAGTCCATCCCAGTGTCCCCCCAGTGCCCCCCCAGCGCGTCCATCTCAGTGAAGCGTGGAAGAAACGCCCTTCAGCCAATCAGAGCGCGCGTCTCTGATGACTCATCAGTTGCCAGGCAGACCCGCAGCGCCGAGTGCCCCGCGCTGGACTCGGCCCCAGAGCCGCGCGCTTCATTCCCAGTCCGTCCCAGTCCATTCCCAGTGCCCTCCCAGTGCACCCCCAGTTCCTCCCAGTACATTCAACAC